ATAGAAATAAATTTGTATGTTGCAGTCGATTGAAAATAAAAATTTCGGTTTGTTTTCTAAGAAAGAATATAGAGTAGTATGAAATCAGAGTATTTAGAATTCGATTTTTCTTTTCTTTTCTTCTTATATTCTAAATATGATGGTATCAACATTTAAGTAAAGTGAATTGGGGATAGAGAGTTTGTTTCGATAAATACAGTTGTACGTTTTTTGACGGTCTCAATTGATATACCTTCTTTTGGAAAACTAGCCGAGACTCTATGAGTATTCATCTCATTAAAATAAATTCTTTTCTTTCTACTAGAGTTCTTGCAATATACTGAATTCATAGGAAAATATATTTTGCATGCATTTGTGTCCAGATCGATGTTAGTTGAAGAATATGAATCTTTTAATATATTTGGATATCAATATAAATTTAGGACTTTCACATAGAATATATTACCGAAATAGAGGACAATCATATGTTGAAAAATTGATTTTGTTTTGATTTTTATGTTTTCTTTAAGGAATATCTTTTATGAATTTCATTGAAATTCAAATGATATATTTCTACTAAATAATAAAGAATTCAAATTCAGCAAGCGAAACCCGGAAAAATATACGAATTTCTCCATCAATTGAGCATTAAATATATATCAGTGTTCAATAATAAATTCCTTGACAAATATGTCCGAATTGATTTTTGAAATGATTAACATGTTGTTCGATAAATGAAAACAGTTATATTATGATAATATATGTTATATGTTCAGTATTGCATAGATCTTGTAGAATTTCAATCGAGAAGTTATCATAGCACTATAGTCGAGTTAGTTACAAAAATTTTCTCATTATTCTAATGATGGCAGTGTACTAATATATGTGAAGATGAATTTAATCTAAAAGCTTTACTTTCGAATTCAATTCATAAGTGATTCGTTTATTAGATAAACACATTTGAACAAAAAATGAGATTTATCAAATGCTATAGATGATTGTAAATAATTTAAATCTTTTTTTCCAAATATTATAAAAATAAACTATCATATAATCTGTAATAAACATTAAAGGTGAGGAATTTCGCATATCTCTGTTTTTGTTAAGATAAAATAAATAATAGGAAAATGGTTAATGAAAATAGTTTTTAAAAAAAGTCTCTATTGAAAGATATTTCTTTTATTTGTTCGGTGTTGTTTCAGTACAGTTAAACTTGCGTTCGTTTATTAATATTCATTATTTTATTATATTCGATCTATGATAAAGAATATTTTTTAATAATTTGTTCATCAAAACTTTCAAAAATTTAAGCACAATATTTTTTGTAAGAAATATGTCAAAATACTTATTCACATGGGAATTGTCGTCTCTATTGATTTATGTTCAAGTATATGTTAGAACATTATAAATCATATAATTAGAGATATTTTAATTAATCTTCTGTAATATTTACGATGATAAACAAAATAGAAAAAAAAAGATCATAAATTGATCACAATCTTAGTATCTAATTCATCATATAATTCCTATCATACCTTTATTTTGCCCCAAATTTCAATTAATATTCCCAGTTTTCCTATATTTTATTAGAGAAAAAATAGTGCAAAAATATTATAAGATTTGACTGTGTTCTGAGGAACAGTAAAGAAGTCTTTATGGTGTTATATCCTTATTTCGATCATGACTTTGACAGAAAACTCGCGAGATAAGTATAGATGTTTGTTAAAGATAAAGCATATTTATTTAAGGTACAGTTCGACATGAAATACTTCAATTTTAACTACTTTCTAAGTGAAAAAAATTGTTGAAGTCCAAGGACGATATGCTAGACAAGAATTCCTATAGTATCGAAAATTTGTAATCGAAGGCCACGATCAAACGATAAATATTATATATAATAGGTGACTCGAAGCTGTTTCTTCATGCATATTCTCTTGTTAATTTGCTTTCATTTATCAAAGTCTCACTTAATAATATACAACATGATATTTCTATATGAAGATTAATATTTCCTAATATATCTTTTAGGGTGTGGGTGAGTGAAAAGAAGCAGCCAACACTCATAATCTCAAGATGTATCAAGAAAAACAAATATATTTTAAGGTAAACAATTTGATAATCTTTCGGTAGATGACGAAAAGAAGAATAAATTTTCGTAGTCATAAGTGATATATTCTTGTCGATCATATTTCTTTCCATTTTTAATCTTTTACTTTTCATTTTACCTTTTATTTAGTCTTTATCTACTATATGAAAGTTATAATGTGATACAAATAACAAAAACATAAAAGAATAAAAAAACCTATAAAAATAATTTTAATAATAAATCATTAAAATTTCAAGTTTTTCAGTGCAGAGATTCGTCATCAGTGTACGTCTGCATAGAAATTACTTCTAAGATGAACACTATTTCGCACGACTTATAAAATATAAATAAACAAAACAAGATTACAAATCATCTGGATTTTTGTAAAATTTCATTATCTATTATTGATTCTTTTGTTTTTTTTATGAGTAACAAGATGCTAATTGTATAATCAATGAAAAGATATAATAAACTATGATAAATTGAAAGCTTTCTACTCTGTATAGCATGTTTATCAATTTTGCATAATATGCATCTATGTTCCGACAATTGTCATTGGTTCTAAATATCCATTCATATATCGCTTTTAATGATGTATATCACATTCGTAATGACAAAGAGAGAACATTTCCAAGTGATAATATCGCTTTTGATAAGTCTATTGCATAGAGCATATCAAACTCTATGAAAAATTCTATTTTTTTCTGCTGTAAAATCTTTGCAAAATTAGATAAATTTAAAAAAGTAAAGCATTCTTCAAAATTTTAATGCTTCATGTAGAGGTAGCACATTACTATTACTTATGGCTGAGTAATAAATGCAATAAAGGAATAATGATAATAAAGTAATAAGTAATATACAAGTAAGATACTAGAAATGCTTGTCATCATGGATTAGATTTTCATTTTCTCTTCAAAGCATTATGAAACAGTCAGATTTCATTTTTCCGTATAAAAATGGACTTAAACTTTTATATCTCGTTGAAATGAGAAATCTGGTTTTGAATTATCAAAAACAAGTTTGATTAAAATAATATTTAACCAAAACTCAGAAAGTTAAATTAGTTAGGTTAATGAGTTTTCATTCATGTAAACGAAGAAAATACTGATCGTTTTGTTTCCAATTTCTGTAATTACCATGACTAATAGCCTTAGATTATGTCAGTGCCTACCAGGATTCTATTTTTCAAATTTGAACAATATGTAAATTTTGTTATGCAAGTTGAATCATAAAATAAATAAGGATCAATTCTTTATTTTAGTTACTGTGTCTTGAAAGACGCTTTTGTTAACCTGGAGTAAATTTTATGAAAAGGAAAACTGCACTATATAAATTTTCTTTTTTTATTAGCTAGTTAAAATAAATGAAATTCATACTTTCAATAAACCCGGCATCCACATTTTATTTTAGTACCTTGAGGGTGCGGGTGTGGATGAGTATGAGTTTATAATTTGAACTCAAACTCACATCTACATTCTCATATAGTATTTTTCCTATGCATTAAGGACGTTAACGACATGGTCAACTAAATAATGTTCTACAATTAATAATATCTATGTGCCAATATGTCATATATTCTTTCTATCTATCTTATATTGTATCTTCTGTTTTTTTACTACTTTATTATAGTAATAACTATTACTTGCTACTACTCATTACTTTTATTACTTTATCACCGGTAATAAGTAATAATTATTATTACCGATAACCGAGTAAAAATAATAAAAAGTAATAGTAATGTTCCACCCCTAGTTCCATGCGATTTGCTATCTAAATAAAGCAATTGCTCTAGTCAACAAGAAATTCACAATATTGTGGTGGAATATTTTTTTCGACTCCTTCATCGATCGATAAAAATTCAACTTTCATCATGAGTTTTTTTTTGATAGTCTTACTTCACTGAAAAAAGCTGTATCTTCTACAAGTAATTTGTGGGGTGTGGGCGCGGAATGTGGGAGAGGGGGTTGGTGTCAGTGAAGAGACAACTGACAGTCACACTCACACTCGCACCTCATTGAGAGATTGAGTGTGATGCTGAGACACAGAAAGGCATGTCATCGAATGAGTGTGGGGTTGAAATAAAGATATGACACGTCCCTAAGAATATGCGCGTTGATTAAGGATGCTTGAAGATATATTTAGAATTAATATTATAGTTAGGCAATTGATTTTGTGTTTATGAATATGGAAAGTCTTTTTTGCGGTCAGGTTTGGATGGCTGTCACACTCGGAATATGCAGTTGAAGCGAATTATTAAGTTAGGAAACTGATCTACATCTGGGAAATCGTAAATTACTATGTATAATTCACTTTAAGCCTCGAAAGTTATTAACTACTTTATAGAAGTCGGATAAATGTCTTGAGGAACTATGAAATGGTTCTTAGAGATTGGTTTTGATTTTGAGGAATCCAAAGTAGTTGTAGGAAATCGTTTTCAGCATTAGAGAATATTTTGTTGTGGAAAGTCGGAATTACTTGCTGGAAATAGATTTCTATGTTATGAAATATGTTTGCTATCTGTAGAAACAGAAAATGCTTGCAGGAACGGGTTTCTGTATTAGGAAACTGGCTTATGAAAATTTCAGAATAGGATCTATACAGCCAATACGGACTATACGAACAATGCGGATGTGTGTCATAAGTTGAGGCAAAACTCAATTTCCTGGAAATCTGAAAAACGCATCAACTCGAATCGAGAAAATTCTCTATACATCTTAACACTAAATAGAAATGAAGAGTAAATATGACAATATTGTATAGATAAGCGATAGTTGTTTTTTTTTCCAATTTTCAAGAGAAAGAAAAATATTCTTACTCAGATATGTCATTTTTATCGCGATGACTCAGTTTTTGTTATTACGTATATTACGACACATTCAGTTTTTTCTTACATAATTACATTTGATCTTTCTCTCGAATAATTCCACACATAACGATGGCAAGTAACACAATACAATGTTTTATAAATGAAAAAGATTGTTCGACCGAATATCGTCAAAAACTTATTGAACAGATGGATGAAATTGAAAATTATCGAGATTCATTTCTACAAGAATTTATTCAACATAAACAAAATCTACAAGAACATTCATTGATGAAACAAATTGATCAATGGGAAAATGAGTCCATCGTTAAAATAAAAGAAAGGGCTGAAAACTGTCGACAAAATTGTATTAAATCTATAAAGAAATCATTTAGACAAATAGATTATAAATTATTTTCTTTAAATGAACAATTAAAACAAATTCGTAAAAGAAAAAAATTCAATGAAAATTCTTTTAATGAACTCAAAAAAAACTTAATTAAATTAACTAAAGAACTTAATGAATCAAGCCATATTTTCATTGAAGAAATTACAACATTATTTATCAACAAAATTAATCTCATTGATCGATCTAGTAAGAAGATCTCAATTAATGAAAATGTTCTTTTTCTCGTTGAAAAGAGTCTTACAAACATAAATTGTCTGCTTGCATACATGTCCATATCTCTCTGATGGGCTCAAGAATAATATGAAAACAAAAGGGATTGCTTTTCTCAAACATTGATCATAGGTAATCAAGGGTAGAGATTTGGAATTTGAGGTCAGGTTTTTGAAATTCTTTTGAGGATCACCTTTTTTCTTACACAGACCACTTTTTATGAAAAATATGTTTTTCTTATAAAGTTTGATCAAAAGCAAACAGGGTGGAGGAACTCGAATCTGATTTCGGTTTTATTTAATTTTATAAGTGAATAGGTTGGTGGTAGTTTAGAAATACGATTTCTACGAGAAGGGGCCGAGCAAGTCTTTAAACAAGCGTTACTTGTAATCGAAGATTGCAATAGTTTTTAAAAGAGTCGTATCATCAAAGCGAATTACGAAACGAGCAATCTTCAGTCTCATTATTAATTTCTTAGCTATTAATAGATTGAATAGTTGAAGTAACTCTTTGAGTTTGACATGTGTATAAAATCCCAGGTCGATCAATCCAATAGGATTCTGTAGGATGGCCGGATCCTACAAGATCCTGTCGGATCCGTTATCAGATTTGTGAACCTGGGATCAATTTTTTTCTAAGTTTGACCATTAGAAGATAGATCGATCATTATATATAATTTCATTTAGATATGAAATGGAAAGAATTTGGAATTAATATTACTGAAGGAAATGAATTGAATCAACTAAAGAATCCTTCAAGTATGTTGATCGATAAAGATGATGATAAAATAACTTATATTGTTGATTCTCAAAATGATCGTATTATGAAATGGAAATTAAATGAACATTATGGTGAGACTGTTGCTGGCGGAAATGGAAAAGGAAAACAAATGAATCAATTGTGTTATCCAACAGATGTGATTATTGATAAAGAAAATGATTGCTTTATTATTAGTGATTATGAAAACAAACGAATCATGCAATGGCCTCGTCAAAATAATGGAACTGGAAAAATAATTATTTCTAATATAAATTGTCATGGTTTAGCAATTGATAAATATGGATTTATTTATGTTGCTGATGGTGAGAAACATGAAGTAAGAAAATGGAAAATTGGAGATAAAAATGGAAAATTAGTGGCAGGTGGAAATGGAAAAGGAACAAATTTAAATCAACTTAATCATCCTAGTTTTATTTTTGTTGATAACGATTGTTCATTNAAATTAACTAGAGAACTTAATGAACCAAGCCATATTTTCATTGAAGAAATTACAACATTATTTATCAACAAAATTAATCTCATTGATCGATCTAGTAAGAAGATCTCAATTAATGAAAACGTTCTTTTTCTCGTTGAAAAGTCTTACAAACATAAATTGTCTGCTTGCATACATGTCCGTACTTCTCTGATGGGCTCAAGAATAATATGAAAACAAAAGGGATTGCTTTTCTCAAAGATTGATCATAGGTAATCAAGGGTAGAGATTTGGAATCTGAGATCAAGTTTTTGAAATTCTTTTGAGGATCACTTCTTTTTACACAGACCACTTTTTATGAAAAATATGTTTTTCTTATAAAGTTTGATCAAAGGCAAACAGGGTGGAGGAACTCGAATCTGATTTCGGTTTTACTTAATTTTATAAGTGAATAGGTTGGTGGTAGTTTAGAAATACGATTTCTACGAGAAAGGGCTAACGAGTCTTTAGAGAAGCGTTACTTGTAATCAAAGATTACAATAATTTCTAAAAGAGTCGTATCATCAAAGGGAATACGAAACGAGCAATCTTCAGTCTCATTATTAATTTGTTAGCTGCTAATAGATTGAATAGTTGAAGTAACTCTTTGAGTTTGGCATGTGTATAAAATCCCAGGTCGATCAATCCAATAGAATTCTATAGGATGGTCAGATCCTATAAGATCCTGTCGGATCCGTTATCAGATTTGTGAACCTGGGATCAATTTTTTTCTAAGCTTGACCATTAAAAGATAGATCGATCATTATATATAATTTCACTTAGATATGAAATGGAAAGAATTTGGAATCGATATTACCGAAGGAGATGAATTGAATCAACTAAAGAATCCTTCAAGTATGTTGATCGATAAAGATGATGATAAAATAATTTATATTGTTGATTCTCAAAATGATCGTGTTATGAAATGGAAATTAAATGAACACTATGATGAAACTGTTGCTGGTGGAAATGGAAAAGGAAAACAAATGAAACAACTGTGTTATCCAAACGATGTGATTATTGATAAAGAAAATGATTGCTTTATTATTAATGATTATGGAAATAAACGAATCATGCAATGGCCTCGTCAAAATAATGGAACTGAAAAAATAATTATTTCTAATATAAATTGTCATGGTTTAGCAATTGATAAATATGGATTTATTTATGTTGCTGATGGTGAGAAACATGAAGTAAGAAAATGGAAAATTGGAGATGAAAATGGAAAATTAGTGGCAGGTGGAAATGGAAAAGGAACAAATTTAAATCAACTTAATCATCCTAGTTTTATTTTTGTTGATAACGATTGTTCATTATATATATCAGATTGTGCAAATCATCGTGTAATGAAATGGTTAAAAGATGCAAAACAAGGAATTATTGTTGCTGGAGGAAATGGAGAAGGAAACAGTTTTAAACAATTATCGGGTCCTCAAGGAATTCTTGTTGATCAGTTTAATCAAATTTATGTAGCAGATCATGGAAATAATCGAGTAATGTGTTGGCTCGAAGGAGCAACGAAAGGAAGTATTATTGTTGGTGGAAATGGATATGGAAACGAATTGAATCAATTATTTTATCCAATGGGTTTATCATTTGATCAACAAGAAAATCTTTATGTTGTTGATTCAGGAAATAATCGAATACAAAAATTTGAAATTGATTTTAATTAAAATGAATTATTTTATTTTCGAATATTTTATCTCATATTCACACTCTCACTTCACCCTCAGAAAAACCGAGGAATCAGCGTAATCGTTTCGAGCATGTGAGGGTGACGAACAGATTCACATCCACATCTAATTCTCTCTGTTTATACTCTCAAGATAGTTCAATAGGAAGAATATACCTTTCAATCATTGATTTTTTTAGATATAGTTACCATTGGTTTCAACTCCTAAATTATTTCCTAAAATAAAGGTTCATATAAGTAAGATTTAGTTATAGATACCCTTTCAAATATGATGGGCGTATGGTGTAGTTGTAACACTTGAGTCTTTGGAACTTGGAACTCTAGTTCGATTCCATGTACGATCATTTTCTTATTTCTTTTTTTTTTGTCGTATAAACTATGTAATATTAACAACCTATTATCTTTGTCAGTCAACAGAGGTGAGAAACGCAGTCTGGAGACCGTCACATACTGTGACAGACGGCTTCAGAGTACTATCAGAGGTCATGTATAAATCAAGTCTAGTTAAAATATCTATGGAATATTTTCTTGTTGAAGTGCTATGCTCTAAAGTAAGGAACAATGCGAAAGTGTACCCAGACATACATAAAAAGACGAGTTTTTAAGGAATTAGCAACAACGGGTATATCGTGTTTCACATTTGAATCCCACAGGGATTGCGCTAACAGCTTTTTTATTCTTCAATGAGAAGAGTGCTTATGAACACAGAGTAATATATAAGTACATGTATCATCTTGAGAAAAAAATCATAATCGCATTCAAATATGAATCGACATACTGTTCATCTTCTTGATCTACCCAATGAGATATTATTTCTCATCTTGAAAAAACTCGACAATATGGATGTTCTTTACTTTTTATTGGATGTCAATAATCAACGACTTGATATTATAGCACAAAAACAAACTTTCACTAACAATCTTTGTTTTGTTTCAACATCATCAACTGATAATATTTCTTCAATTTCTGATTCAATACTTGATCGATTCTGTTTCAATATATTGTCAAGAATTCATCAAAATGTCAAATCTCTCATTCTTGAATCAGTTTTTATGGAACGTATTCTTCTTGTGGCCGATTATCCAAATCTCACTAAGCTTAAACTTTGCAATTTCAATAAAGAGGTCGTCTCATGTTATTTCAAAGGTAAGAATTTCATTTGCAACAGTCTCTTCAATGAATGAGATTTAATAACATTGAAAAGCAAAGATTATACGATATCTATGTTTTTTATTTTGTTTAGACGTTTCTATCTTTCGACATATTTGAAAAAAAAAATTACGGATCTTATTCTTATCAGTAATGAAAACAACATTGAAATAACAGAAGAAGACTATACTATGAATGTTTATGCATTTATCTTGACTTTCTTTGAAAATCTAAAGCATTTGACTATTGTACCATCATCTATCAACAATTATCCACTTTTGTCACTATGTAATTTACCATCGACGAATTTTTCCTCTTCGATACTTACTAAATTATGTATTAATGCAAGTAATTTTGATACTTGTCTTGCTTTACTTGATGGTCGTCTCAGACAATTAATTACATTCATCATTCAAATTGATTATATCACCGATGTGCCATCGACGTCGTTCAACATGGTGAGTTTATGTTCCGCATTGTTTTCTAATTTATATTTAATGTCAATGACAAAATAAAGTTCATTAGGAGTTTAATAGAAAATGAAGTTTCTGCATTAGCAAATAGGATGTGTAATGATTTCGATCATTATGAGATTATTGAAAATAGATTGCTATAGTTATTTTTGTGTTACTGGAGATTATTTCATAAGTAACTACCATTCATTTAGAATTAGTTGATCAATAATTAGTTGAAAAATGAATATTTATTCATCAAATAAGATGAAAGAAAACATTTGATCTTTTATCTTTCCTATTTGTTATTTTGAATCTATTCATCTATGTTAAAATAAATCAAACATATAGTTGTTTTCAAAATAGCCACTTTTCAGTCAATCACGGTTTTTTAACGTTCGTTAACTTATGATGATTTGAATGAATATGCTTATTTGATAGAATTATTAGCTTTCTATACAAAGAATTCTGCTTGTATCAACTGTATGATGAATTTCATCGACTGATTTCAAACATGTTATGAAAATTCATTCTTATATAATATTTTATGACTTTATCAAATTATTCAGTAGTTCTTACCTGTTAATACTTTAGAATAGAAGAAACATATAAGAACAGAATTTAGAAAATGAATAAGACCTATCAATTGATTGTTCATCTGAACTTATTTCGTAGCCCAATCAATAAAAATGTATTTATACACATTTCTTTCTATTTTGTAGGAAAATCTACCTAATCTGAAACGTTTTTCGCTAATATGTTATAATGAAATTCAAGGATATGACAACCAAGTTGTATCTCTTCTTCGTCGAATGTCACATCTCAAAGAATCAACTTTATATCTTCGTATCTCCAATCGATCAACATTCGTCCATGGTACCCATCTTCACAATGAAATCCTTATTCATATGCCACGACTTCATAAATTCATTTTTTATATTAGCACTAAAAATGACATTATTGATCCAACTCTTCGTCTGTCTAATGATGATATTCAATGAACTTTTGAAAACATAGAACATCGACAGGTGACTTGTATTGGAGATTATTTCAATCATTATAAAGTCATATGTCGCATCTTTTCATTTCCATTTCAATTTGATCGTCTCGAATACATCACAAATTATTTTCCAAATATTGTATTCAATTATGTAAATCGTTTGGTGGTATGGGATATTAGCATCACTAGATGTCACTCCATGACGCTAACTTATCCATATCATTGAAATACACTTTTTATTCTTTTCTATTTGATATGGATAATTCTTCTCATGATTGAGATCATGCGATCCTTTTGACTTTGCTGTATATATGAAAAGCGATAAATAAATGTGTCTCTTCCTTCCCTTTGTTTTTATTTTGTTCTATGTAAAATTTTCTACTTTTTTGTAAAAATCTCATATTATATATCTCGGTAATGAAGATTTATACTTCGAACGGTCAATATGAAATAAAATAGAACAAAAAATTTGAAAAAAAGAAATTTCTGTTTCTTTCTATCAAATTTAAATAATAATGTTATATACTCCTGTTAAATTATTATTATTATTAGATGGAAAAAATTTCAAAGGATTTTAGGGTTTTTAAGAGTTGTTCAAACGAATTTCTAGAAGATTTCAAGATTTTTATGCTCGTAAATAAGAAAATCAAACAAATTCTTACCGTCAGATCTTAAATTCTGAAAGTTTTATGATGAAAATTCCAATAAACATTTTCAAAAAGTTTTTGAAATGAGGGGGCTTCTAATACATCTTTCACATTGATCCTTCTGGAGTGGGCTTCTAATATGGGAGGGGCTTCTATTATGGGGAGGGGTTTACGTTGAACGTCTGTGTCCTTTTCCCTTCATGTGCAGGCTTCGTAGCAGTCTTCTCCGGATATATAGGAAAATATAGGATTGTAAAAGTGAAATTTTTATAGGATTTCAATAAAAATATAGGAACTATATAGGATGGTTTTTCTCCAGTAGGAGATTTTTCGAGAAGTTTGCCATGTATTACTTTGCCCAAGATAGTAAACAGCTCTCAGTCAAAGCTGTCAAGAAATGAAAAACGAAAGCATCTTTCAAGTCCTAAC